GCTTTGCTAAGCTTGTTCTAAGTAGGTGCTTTAGACCACTGAGCTATCTCACCAGCCCCTGCAGCTTATACTTTGCGATGACGTCCTTAAAAAAGTTAAAATTCCTACCACCTCTTTTTTTTTCCACAGTACTGTGGAGACTGAACTCAGGGTCACAGAGCCATATCCCCAAACTTTCATTTTTCTTTTTTAAGACAGGCTCACAGTATATCACTAAGTTGCCTGACCTGGGTTCAAATTTACAATCCTCTTGACTTAGTCAAAACTGTTTTACAAGTGAAAAGAAAAAAAAAAGAATGTCATCCTTTGTAAGCTAAATTACTTAGTTGGTAGCTATTGAAGATGGTATTCATCTGATCTGGTTACCGACCACTGAACCACCAAAATACAAATACTTTTGTTTTATTACAGCTATTTTAGGCCATAGAGCTACATGCACAATTATTAATAATTCAGATTTGATAATGCTTGCAAATTTACAAAACTAACTTCATAATAAAGGTTATGTTATTTAATCAAATCATAATGATCATGCAAGACATTTATACAAAAGATTTCAGTTTCTCCCTGGTTCTGCAAAAAAAAAAAAAAATTCAGTTTCATGTAAACAAAGAGGGAGCCTGGTCCTAGCTCAGTTCTTTAAGTGGCTGCTTCCACAATTTTGTCAGGCTCAGGTGGCTGTGGTTTGATCCCCACAACTCAAGCCAGCCAAACCTGCCCTGAAGGCATTCGGAGCAAATAAATGAACAGTAATCAACTGCAGATGAATCAGAAAATTGGCAATCTAAAATACAAACGTAAAATATATGCCATATTGCATATACAAAAAGCGTTTCTGGCTACTTTGCAATTTACAGAGTAACTCACCTGTGGAGTCCGAAGATGTTTATTTGGCTCAACTTCATTTTCTTCTAGGATCTTAGAAACAGAATACTAATATAAGGTAAGCTGAAGACAATAATGATTAACCAAAGAATAATAACTTGCTGTTAATAGGAAACTATGGTTTCAAACATGACCTACCCATAGAGTGGAGTGGGTAGTAGCCTTTTTTATTTTTTATTTTTGTTTTAGTAAGGGTGTACAGGGTCTCACTACATAGATCAGACTAGTAGTGATCCGCCTGTGCTCAGCTCCCTAAAGCTAGGATAACAGGTCCGCCACCATGCCCAGTCTTAAAACTTCAGAAGCATTTTTTTTTTTTTTTTTTTTTTTTGGCCGGTTGGCTGGCTGGCTGGCTGGCTGGCTGAGACTGCCTTAAGGACGGGCCTGCTGCGGTATATGGAGCTGGAGATCCTTATCCATCCCGTCCGGTGCACCTGGCTGAGTCTGCCCAAGCAGGTGCTTTAAACAACTCAGCTAGATAAATCCTGAGGGTACCTGACTGACCATATCAGATACAAGAGTTAAATTTCTTGCTATATAGGTCTTGCTTTATCTTGGTCTTAACCACCCAGAAGAAAAGTATATAAACGAGGTATATAAAGTAAAGCCATATTAATACAATGAGCTGTAAAAGGGTCAAGTCAATAACTTCTGAGGATAGCCCACTAATATTATAGACTCCTAGACGAGTTAGATTGTTTAGCTGAATTCAAACACCTGTAGTATTTAGATGCCAATACAATATTCTCCTCTGACAGGACTAAACAAAAAAAAAAGGGGGGGGGTGATACAAAAGAAAGATCATTTTGTATTTATATATACAAAATAGTTAGAATAGATATACAGCTACTTTTACTTAATTCAATGAGAAGAAAGAGCTGTACTAATAGTGTTTCGACAGAATATCCTGTCTGCTTCTTGTACTATGGATAACCACTAAGAAGATAACAATGTACAATGTATTGATTATCGAAACTGTCCTATTATTCAGCTTTGAAACTGTCTCATTCATATTTATTTCTCAATAAAATAAAAATTAAAAATTAAAAATTAAAAAACGGAGCTAACCAACAAGCCCCCTAACCCACAAGCCCCCTGCCATTAAAAGGCATCTTTAAGGAGAACTCTTGGGAATATAAATTAACACAATGTGATACTAAAAGGAAAGGGCATAACCCAGATAATTTTAAGGCAGGGCTCCACAGAGGGCTCCAAAGTAATGAAGCTCTCTGGCCACCTGAACACAAAGCAGCCAACTCAAGGCAGCTCAGGGCCAATGTGCAGTCTTCCACATTGCTCTCCATGACATCATACCCTGGGAATGCTGGGTTTTCAGAAACTGCCCTGACAGAGAGCAATTCTGATAAAATTAGCAAAGAACAAGAAATAGGATAAAGTCACCTCACTGACTCCAGGGTTTGAGACATTGTGCAGTGCCAAGCACAGACACACATTACACTAGTATTGGTGTTTTTAAAAATAAAACACAGAAATCCCAGAATTTAGAGGCTGAGGCAGGATTATGAATTCAAGACTGGCCTGGGCTACAGAGTAAATTCAAGGCAAGTCTGGACCACAGGGTAGGGCCCTGGCAGTTAATCAATTAATAGAAAATGCTTCCTAGTTACCAGGACACAAGTATCTATTGTTTAACCATTCACTGCTTAATAAATGGAACTATTAGGAGTATTGTTTAACTAAAAAATACAATAGAAAAAAAATATGGGGCTGGTGAGATGGCTCAGTGGTCTAAAGCACCTACTTAGAACAAGCTAAGCAAAGCCCAGGGACCGCGGTTCAATCCCCCAGCACCACATGCCAGCCAGCCCCGCCCCCTGGTGGGCTGAGCTGGCCACACACACAAAAAATAATAAATGAAATTAAATAAATAAATAAATAATTTTAAAAAAATACTAAAAACAAGTCACGAATCGAGACAGTTTGGTACCCTCCACATGACAATTCTATTACAAATTACAGAATGTTCGTATCAAGACAAACTATTGGGGCTGGTGAGATGGCTCAGTGGTCTAGAGCACCTACTTAGAACAAGCTTAGCAAAGCACAGGGACCATGGTTCAATCCCCCAGGACCACATGCCAGCCAACCCCGCCCCCTGGTGGGCCGAGCTGGCCACACACACACACACACACACACACACAAATAAAAATTTTTAAAAAAAGACAAACTATTATAAAAAATATGTAAATACCTGTTGAGAATCCTGCTTCAGATGAGGAGTAAATGGTATCCTAATAAATGGTTTCCTAACTGTAGTGGAGAAAATAAAATAATCTTATTTATCAAATGTATAGTGCTATAAAAATGTTTTAAATTTGTTTCTAAAACTGAAAGACACAAGAAATGTAACTTAAATTTTAAGAAAAATAAGGCCTTGAAAATTGTTCGATTGGGGGCTGGTGAGATGGCTCAGTGGTCTAAAGCACCTACTTAGAACAAGCTTAGCAAAGCACAGGGACCGCGGTTCGATCCCCCAGCACCACATGATAACCAGCCCCGCCCCCTGGTGGGCTGAGCTGGCCACACACACACACACACACACAGACTAAATAAAAAAAAAAAAAAATTGTTCGATTGATGGTAGATGTTTAAGGATTCAAAAATATTTAGAGAGACTGAGTGAGGCGGCATGCCTATAATCCCAGCACTTGGGACGCTGTAAACAGGAAGATTGCTACAAGTTTGATCTACATAATGAAACCCTGTAAGACCCTGTACTAAATACATAAAAATA